ATAATGATTGAAAATTTCTTGTTTTGCGTGTTTTAGGCAAATTGAATTAATTTTTAGTAGGAAAAAACGAGCATTTACGATCAATTTTTTGTCAATTTTGACGTCAAATTGGTCTCGTGGGACAAAATGCCCCCCAAAACCCCTAAATACCATGATTTCGGCACGAAAATTGAAGAGCTTATACAATTCTGTTAGGTTTACCGGGTTTTTTTTGCAGCAGATGGTAAAACCAATTTTTAATTTTTTTTTGTTGTAATATAAAATTTTTATAATTGTTGGTGGTAAAAAACAATTTCATGATTTTTTCGTGGTAAAAGTAATAAAGAAATCCATTAATAAAAGTTATACGATATCTTCAAAATATATTCGAATTTAACAAATACATAATATAATCAATCAAATAAAGAAATCCTCCATCTAAAATATGATCGTCGAATAAATCTTACACCATAGAACATCTCCCGCTTAATCGCTTATATTATTGCTGCCTTGCTGTAATATCCGTCCTCACAACTGATAACATTAAAGGGGAAAAGCCTTTTTTTTTTTGTTTTCGATTTTAGGTTTTTTTGTTTTCAAAATAATCAATAAGTGAAAACTTAAAACAAAAAATGATGTCAACAAGACCGGAAAGTATGGTTTTTTAAATTTAATTTTTTCATTTTTAACAATATGTTTATATTACTTTTGTTTTAAAAAAACAATATATTTTTTTGTTGCAAACGAGGGACTAGGCCCCCAGAAATAAAAACAAACTAAACCGAAATTAAATGTGGCAAAGCCACTCCTACGATATCATCGTGCAAGAATATAATGCAAGATACGTCCTAACTTAATAGGAGGGAATTGAATCAACTTGATATTTTTTTTAAACAATATATTTATATTACTTTAACAGAAAGATTATATCACTAATATCTTGACCTCCAAAAAAATATTCTTAATTTGTGATTGGAAAGAGAAAGATTACATGACACAAAAGACACTAGCTTACTCAATAAAGAGAACAAGTCACAGCCTCACAGGCATTGCACGTAGTTTAATTTAATTATAATAAATAAATACCTACATTAAACAATAAGAGGAATAAAAAAAAACATAACTACTTTTTAATCCCATGCAACAACTAGACGATAGAAATCCACACCCTTAAAATTAGGTTCTTCGCCTGATACCCAAGTCGCAATTAATCCGGCGCCACTAACTGCTTTGTTGTATAATTTTTCATTTATCTATGGTGTTATACTATGGACCCGGAGCACAATGCTTTGGTGCACCCCTTTCTAAAGCAAAACCTAGAAGAATAAACATGCATTGAATAGTCAGGGAGTGGTATTCATTGTGAGAGTGACCGATTCTAGGAGATCTTAAGATCGATTCTCATTACCCGCTCTTGTGACTCTGTAAGCACAAAAAAAAAAAAAAAAAAAAAAAAAAAAAAAAAAAAGTGGTATTCAATTGTACACGCGTGGTGTGGTAGGGCTACACACCTCCACCACAACCCAGCTGGACATAGACCCATGCTCATCAGGTCATCTGCTAGCTTGCTACTTGGCCTTGGAGTAGGGTGTTGTTGGTATATACCAATTCCCCCTTGTGTCGTGCCTGTGACCGCTGCCAACAAGCCTGAGGTTCTAGGGCCTTAACACACCATGTGTTAAAGGATCAAGTCAACTAAGAGTTTAAGCTGATAATTAAGGCCTAAGAATATGTTTAATATCAATCACCATACCATGTCGTGCAAAGCCTTGAGCCCTCGTTGGTGTGTGTCGTGAGCTTTACGACCATTTGGCTTGTAATACAGATACACTTGGGACCTTAACGCATTAAAGCCTGGTATCTAACGACGTAATCTAAATTTTACTTAAGTAAATATAATGTATGGTTCCTACAGGCGTTGGTACCTTACATCGTACAGCTGTTTCGCGAAAAGAACATATTACACACATGTAAAGAACATACTGTTGTGATGAAAATAATATACTATTAAAAAGTAATGAACACATATCTAAAGTAAAAAGAACATATTTATATTAAAAAGAGTAAAAAGAACATATGTTCATGTTCTTTAATTGTCAGTGTAATGTACTTATTTGTGATATAATGTTAATTACTTATTGTGAAATGTTATTTGATTTATTTATTTTTTTAAAATTATGGTGAATATACATAAATCATGTTCATTACATAATATTTTCATGTTCTTTATAAATATTAGGGATGTTTTTTAGATGTATAAAAAAACATAAAATTGGATGTTTTTTACAAAACAGTTATATATTCTTTACAAAACAGCTTTATGTTCTTTAAAAAACTGCTACATGTTCTTTTCGTGTTTATTTCCTGTACCTTGCTAGGTACAGACGACTGTACCTTAAAATTTTCAAAGTAAATAATGTATTTGTTTTTAATTTTGTCCAATCGGTCAATTTGATTTTCTTTCGTGTTTTAGGGGTATGACTCAATAAATTCAATCAAGAGTGAATTGTGAGACTAATTATATATTATTCACACTGAACATAATTGACTTCTAACTAAGCATTCCAATCACTTGATTTCACTGAGAGTTTGAGATCGAAGGTGACCTGCAACTAAACATATAGATCATCTTTTGATCTCACTGAATAATCAACAATACGATATAATATATATATTTTTTTAAGAAAAATTGCTCGGAATAATCCAACCTTTGCCTCATACGCCAAAAATAATCCCACCTTTTGATTATTTTTAATAATCTGACCTTTATACCCAATCTGTTCCCAATGGTCCCAAGTAACTCAAAACCGGATAAACAGGTTACCATTGGTGACTTGGAATTGTTTGCACACGTGTCACCACATATTTGGTCAAAAATTAAAAAACAAATTAATCAAAAAAATTTATTGAAAACGTTTTTAAAGAAAATGACGGCAACCCTCAATCAGTGGGTCATGAAGGCGAATGTACCATGTGCATGGTATATCTGTTAAAAAAAACGGAAAGAACATTGTACAGAAGTGAAAAGAACATTTAGTTATAGTGAAAAAGAACATGACATAGAATTATAAAGAACATATATCTAAAATGAAAAGAACATATTATTAAATGTAATAAACGTGATAAAAGAACATAAGAGATATAAAAAAAGAACATAAGCCTATTACTAACAATGAACATGACATTATTTTATTAAGAACACACTGTTAAATAATATTCTTTATCTCTGTGTTATTTGGTTGTCAGTGTAATATATTTTTATTTATGACATTATATTCATTGTCTAATGTGAAATGTTCTTTAAATTTTGACTTTAGATTATGGTGGGAGAATATAAATAATGTTCATTACATAATATTATCGATTTCTTTATTAATATTATGAATGTTCTTTAGATAAAATATAAATAAAATAATAAATAAATAAATAAAATAAAAAACTGGATATTCTTTGTAAAACAGGTATACGTTCTTTACAAAACAAATATATGTTTTATACAAAATAGCTATATGTTCTTTACAAAACAACTATATGTTCATTCCACCTTTTATCAAAAATCTAAATGTATCATGCTTGGTACATCCGCCTCCACGAAGAAAATTTCAAGCAACCCTCTCCGACAGACTCACCACTAAAACCATCTCCACTACCCAATGTTAATTACATAATATTATCAATTTCTTTATTAATATTATGAATGTTCTTTAGATATACAAAAAAAAAAACATAAAGCTGGATATTCTTTGTAAAACAGCTATATGTTCTTTACAAAACAAATATATGTTCTATACAAAATAGCTATATGTTCTTTACAAAACAACTATATGTTCATTCCACCTTTTATCAAAAATCCGAATGTACCATGCTTGGTACATCCACCTCCACGAAGAAAATTTCAAGCAACCCTCTCCGACAGACTCACCACTTAACCATCTCCACTACTCACTTTTAGCCTATCAAAACCTTCCCTCTCCCCTTGGAGTGGCCGAACTAATGGGTTTGTGATTTTGGGATTGATTTATGGGTGTTTGAAGCGGTTGGTTTATGGTTTCTGTCAACGTGTGGTTGTTGGTGCACTTCTAGTGGGTTCGTTTAGTGTTTTTTGCGATGAGCGTTGTTGTGATGTTGTAGGTTTGTGGGTGGTGCTGCGTTTACGAAGGAGGAGCAGCAGTAGTAGCGTTGCTTTTTTTGTTGTTTTGCGGGTGGTGCACGGGTCGAGTCGACATTGGAGAGGGGAAGGAAGATGGCCTGATGGTCAGAATCAGGTAAGGAGCTGGTGGCTAGGGCTGCCTGGCTTGAATCTGGGTTTGGGATTTTTCTAATTTTTAGTTTTTTTTTCTTTTTAAAAAAAAAATTATTTTTATTTTTATTATTATATTTTGACCAATTCTAGGCTAACACGTGTCTGGTAACTTATGATAATAAGTTAGATGATCGGTTGGGACCATTTAAAGCGAAAAAGGTATAAAAGTTGGATTATTAAAAAATAATCAAAAAGTGGAATTCTTTTGGACAGATGAGACAAAGATGGTTTTTTTAGAAATTTTTTCCAATTTTCTTCACCATCTTTTCTTTAGAAAGGACTGTCAAAAATACATTTGGATAATATATTTGACCAAAAGAATACCTTTCCTTTAGAAGGGACTGTCGAAAAATACCTATAAGCCTTGTGTTTTATATGAGGTTGAGCTTGAGTTAAGGTCTTTGAGCAAGTTGTTTTGAACTAAGTAATAGATTATTTTTGCGCTTAATATCTCTTACAGTATTAAGTAGTTATTTTGGCATCCTTTTGCGGGATAACTAACAATTTCCTGTTCTGATCACTTAATCTCAATGAATAATTCCTGGTATTATGTAAATTATTTATTGAAATAATACACTAGACCAAATGACATCTTTCCTTCAGAAAGGACCATTGAAAATTACCGGTTAGTCTTGTGTTTTGAATGAGCATGAGGTTGAATTAAGGTCTTTGAACAAGTAGTTTTGAATTAATTAATAGCTTATTTGTGTGCTTAATATGTCTAAGCTGAATAATTTTTCCGTTTTGCTAAGTCTTAATCAGCAATTGTAGCTACGCAAACTAAGAGAAGGTTAATTAGGCCTACATGGCTACACATGTGGTACGTTTGTATTAAAGTTGAGATAGATAATGATTAAGATATTTGTTAAATAAAATTGGGCCCTAAATGAGATTGTGGATATAAAAAATGAATAAAAAATTGTTAAAAAAAGGAATAAAAGTGAGTAGAATTAGAAAAACAGATGAAAATGATAATTAGAAAAATGAGTAAGAATTAGGAAAACGGATGTAGTAGTAATTTTGGCAGTCTATCGATAATTAAAATTTCTCACCTCCTCTCTCGAGTAATGGAAATCAGGGGTTATTTATAGACACAAAATATGAGTCTGCGATGAATCATACATAATCCAATACATGAAATGACTAGACCCGCCTGTTTAAGATATGAGCCAATATGAACCGTTCCTTAACCAGATATGACTTATTAACAATCAAATATATGCCACCGACATTGAATATAACCCGATCCCATTACAAACTCACCTTTTCACCCAAAGCGACTGATAATTTAATAACCAATGGACGAAACAAATAAAGTTCTTCGTTTTTGTTGTTGTTTTTTTTTTTTTTTTTTTTTTTTTGGGGGGACATTCTTCGTTTATGTTTTTTTAAAAAAAAAAAAAGTATATTTTGTACTAAAAGGCTTATCGTTATGAATTGAATATAACATAGGTGCTAGTTATTGTTGTCAATATTCAACATAATACTACCCCAAAAAAAAAAAAGTCCGTCTTGAAAAACAAGAAAAAGTAAAAGCTCACCTCCTAAGCAGGCAAGCTTACATTTGTATAAATCCTTGTTTGAACCAAATAATTTATAAACAATAATTATTGTTAAGCAGAATAAAAGACTAGAGAAGATGCAACCTTTGATGGAGGAAGAAAGTATCATACACCAAGCCATGCAACTGACAACCGCAATTGCATTACCTATGGCATTGAAGGCTGCCATGGATCTCGGTCTTTTCGAGATCATGGAGAAAGCAGGACCCAGTGCTCGTCTTTCACCTTCCGATATTGCTGCCCGTATTGCACTAGATACGAACAATCACTACCGAACATCACAGATGACAGATCGTATCCTCCGCCTTCTCAGCTCATACTATGTTGTGTCTTGCTCTGTTGCTGATGATCATGAGCATAGCCATACTGATGGTCAAGTCCAGAGGCTATGCGCTTTAGCTCCGCTTTCAAGGTACTTCCTTCAAAGCAAAGATGGTCAAGGTTCTTTAGCACCGATGTTCAACATGATCCACGACCCGTTCATGGCAAACGTTTGGTAATTGAATTCACAACTTTTCATATATTTTCAGATAGTTTTTCATGCTCCAACCTTGTTCAACTAGTTTTGAAACCCCGGCGATGTATTTCGCTAATTTGACCATATAGGTTCATGTAAAGGATTTGTTTGGTTTGATTCAAAGAAAAAAAAAAAGTATTGAATGATGTATTAAACAGGTATCACATGAAAGATGCAGTTCTTGAAGGGGAAGTTCCACTGGCAAAAGCATATGGCAAGGATCCCAAGGAATCTATCGAGAAAGATGAAAGATTTGCTTCAATCTTCTTTGATGCCCTGAAAGAGTTCAATACCTTGTTTATAAACAAGATTCTGAACGAGTACAAAGGATTCGAAGGCCTAGAATCGGTTGTGGATGTAGGGGGTGGAAATGGCTCTATACTTAAAGCAATTATATCCAAGTACCCAGCTATTAAAGGCATCAACTTCGACTTGCCACCCATAATTGAGAAGCAACCCGTTTGTGCTGGCATCGAGCATATTGCAGGCAACATGTTCACAACCATTCCAACAGGAGATGCAATATTCATGAAGGTAACTGCTACTTCCCATGTATAACAAGGTTCAGTACCTTTCATGATCATACTGTCGCCAATTAATTCCATTTCTGACCTTCTGTATTACGACAGTGGGTACTAAAAAATCTAGACGACGAACAGTGCTTGAACGTGCTTAAGAACTGCTTCAAGGCGTTGCCAGATGGTGGCAAACTCATGACTGTGGAGCTTGTAATACCAGATATCCCAGATAGTAACATTAGCAGCCGAAGTGTGTTTCAGTTTGATGTGTACCTGACAAATATGAATGCTGGAGGAAAAGAGAGGACTGCAGGAGAATTTCAGGCACTTGCAAAGGCAGCAGGATTCTCAGGCATCCAAGCAATGGTTCGGGCATATGATGTGACTCTTCTGGAATTTCATAAAACTGCTAGCACCAACTAAAAACAATGCTGTAAAAGTGTTTCCATGTATCAAGTAGAATGTTTATGCCGAACCACTTTCATATGCAATGTAAGAATAAATGGAGATGGTTCCATATGCAACTGTACTCGTGAATAGACTTTGTAATTACGAATAGACTTTTTTCAATCAGTCATGCCTGATTGATTTTTTTATTGCTATCTTCATTAACAGCTAAGCCAAAACTCTGGTGTCATCCAACTATGGTTTAATGAAATAATTGAAACAAACGGCCAAGTATTAACACCACACGGCATCAAGAAGCCCAGCCCTAATAATAAGAAAACATCAGAATATATATTCGCGTGTACATATTACATATAGCAATTGAAATTATGAATCTGAAGGAGGAGATATCAACCAGCATACCAAAAAATTAGACCCGTAAACATTGTGGCCTTGTGGGTACTTAAGCTCGGACACTTCCAAAGGGTTTTAGCTAATTTGATAAAGTGTGGTAAAGTAATTAACATGAAACAACATGTACAATAATCATTTGTAAAAGGGGCTTTCAATCCGAGGAAGTACTATATGGCAGTACCACTATAATGAGATATGTAGCCATTTATAGACTTACAATTGAATTCAATCCGAGCAATAGCAGAGATTAATCATCAGTAACTCAAGAAGTATCTGACACCAGACAACGATTGCAAATATCATATACTTAAACACAAAATAAGAAAATTCATCAGCTAATCATACATTACTTGGCCAATAACAGTGATTAGCCATGAATCAACCAACTGGAATCATAGTAAATGATTATCATTGAAACAATAAAAACAAATCATGGAAAGAAACTGCACTATAACAATGTCTCTTAGATAATCTATAATTGAAAACTTCAGCAAAAAGACGACAAATTTCAATGCCTTGGCATAGGCGGCCATATATACTGCAATAAGCCAACAACAGACTCCTAACAAATGGAAAACTGGGTAAAACTAGCTACATAACATCATATCAGTATTACCCCAATATCTTTCTAAGTGACTCCAGCTAAGGGTAGATTAAAACACATTGATGACAATCTAAAAGAACAAGAAGTTTAACAAGCCATTTTTCTAAAGTAAAATCATTGCCTCTATGCCTCAGCCAAATAATATACTCCATGAATCATACATACTATTTTTTTGGGGTGCGTAGATTGCCCAATCACAATATTCTGTCACCTCTAGTGAATAATGAATCCTTCCTCATAAACAGTCTTACAAAGAAACAGATTTACATTAAAGGGCGATACCTGACACACCTATCTGACTAATCAAATCTCTATTGGAGACAAGTCATGTGTCAAAGACTATTAAGGGGTGTATCCGTGTATATTTATATGATAATACATAAAGGTATTATTGTAACATGTAATATAACACGGTTTATATACGTGAGAGTCAACAAGCACTTATCTGCGGTATTATTGTATTCACATGTATACCTCCTGACAGTCCTGAGATATCCAGCAAGATCATGGAACACACTCACATCAAGCTAACAGCCATTGGATTAACTAGTACGGGTATAGAAAATGGAAGCACCTACCAAAATCCAACTCATTTATAAAAAAGGTTTACTCTATACACAATGCTACATTTATGATTAACATTTAGGGAAAAAAAATCGAGAATGTGCTTTGTCAAGGGTAACCCATATACTAGCAAAAAGACCAATCTTCAAATGGTTAAGAATTTGTTATTATCACTCTCAAAGATGGCACCATTACTGCTTAAGGCTTTCTGTTGAAAACTCCTATAGTAAGGCGGTAAGGTCAGGCCCCTCATTTTCTTCATCTAGATTAAAGGTAGGAAAAAGGGTTTGATGTAGAGTTCTAACTAGTCTTAATCTCAAGAATTCCAATACAAACTGGTTTCATAAAGCATAAGCCCTCTTGACAAGACAGATTATTATCAGATAAAAACCTTGGTATCCTATACAGCTACACCCTAGGATGCTATCTCTTCAAATACCTTACCTCAAAGGAGCTCAAAATAAGAAAGATAAAAAATGCAGCCCTCAAATTTGGTTTGATAATCTTGATAGACAATGGGCAAGGAAGGATAGAGTGCCTAAGGCTGTGATGTGTTCTTAAAAGGAAATTAAAAAAAAAAAAAAAAAAAAAAAAGGAATTAATGGAATGGTGGATGCTATGCAACAGCATATTATAGCATATTATATCTGTAAGGAGCAATGAACTTAGCAAAAATTACCATATAAAATCAATTGTAAGGAGTCTACCCATAACAAAGACTCAGCTTCTGATATGTGCAAGCTGTTTTGCAAGCTTGAAAGTTGTTCTCAAACCTAATATCAACCTTCGAATCAAATTGAGGTATGTGCCTATGAAAATTATAAGGCCATAGAACCTAAACTAAATCCTTTGTATGATTGTATCCAGTATATAAATAAATAGATGAAACCCGTGTTCTGTAGGAACCAGGCATCAGAATTTTTGCCAAAACTAAGCCTTTATTTCACACTTCAAGCTATAGTGAACAGGGATGTGACCTAAACTTGCATATTCTATGTGACAAACCATTAAAACCACCTATAATTGGCCACAAGTCGAAAATAATGTAAAGAGAATGATGGTGTTGTATTCAATGTTCCAAACACAGTTATCCAATATTCCAGCTTGCAAACAATGAAAGTAATAATTACTAAAAGACTTACACTTTGTTTAGATAGAAGGAAATGGAAGGAAAAGAAGAGAAGATAGTGTAAAGGGAATGATGGCGTTGTATATTCAAAGTTCCAAACACAGTTATCCAGCTTGCAAATAGTGATATCACTTAAAGGCTTACACTTTGTTTGGATAGAAGGAAATGGAAGGAAAAGAAGAGAAGAGAAAGGGAAGAGGACAAATTTACTTGTTTGGGTAAAGGATTGGGGGAAGGAAATGGAGGGTTCCATTTTTTCTCTCTTCAACAAACATGATTCCTCCACATTTGGAGAGATTTGGAGGGAAAATAGAGCTCATCTTTCCTCCATCCTCCTTTTCCCTCCCCTTCCCTTTCCTTCCTTCCTTTTTATATCCAAACAAAGAGTTAGATTCCCACATTCACGAGAATAAGACAAAGAAAAGTAACAATGCAACAATTAAATCAAATACTACCTCCGTTACAGGTTATGTGCAACGATTAGACATTTCCCCTCTCTGCTTTATGTCAAATCGTTGCACATAACCTGTAACGGAGGTAGTAATAAGAGGCACTGAGTTATCTAACCTAATGCTCAGCTGCTCACTTCATTACAAATCCAACAATAAAAACATCCGAGTACGGGCTTGTTTATTTTATCTATTTTATTTCAATCAATATAAGTTCAAATTAAAATAAGTTCAGAATTTCAGACAAAATAAGTTTTGTAAAAAAAACATTATAAATAAAACAGAATTTCAGACATGAATTCATATTTTCTGAATATTTCCAGAATTCCAGATACAATATCAGATTATTTTAGGTAAATTTAGACAAAATAAGTTTTTCACAAAAAAAATTCTGAATTTCAGACACAGTTTCAGATTATCTGAAAAATTTAGAATGTCAAACACAATTTCAGATTATTTCAGTTAAGTTCAGACAAAATAAGATAAGTTCAAATTAGATTATATAAGTTCAGATAACCCACACCACCTCACCACTGCAAACGAGCTGCGCATCAAATCCCCTCTCCACACCCTCCGGCACACCTCTTTGTTCCTTGGCGTCCATCGAAATTTAGTACATACTATTGTGATTCAGAAAATACACAATTAAGGCCTAAATTAGATGAACCAAACAAAGCACAAGTCAAGTATTGCAGAGGCATCAGGACATCACAGTTTTTGAGTTAAAATTTAAGCTAAATTTACACAAACTTAAAAGTTACAGTGAGAGAGATAAGGCCTAAACCTGTGTTCTTACAAGTATTACAACCACCACCACATCAATGGTCACTAGTTTAAACTCGAAGCTGAGCTTAAAGTTACAGTGAGAGAGATAAGGCCTAAACCTTTGCTCTTACAAGTATCACAACCACCACCACATATAACAAGCACTACTAAGAAACTAGCATTATTACCAAACATCAGTAATAGAATTGAACACTCACATTATACTTTCAACCAACATTCATAATCATTAAAAAGTTCAGATACCCACATCCAACATACAAAATTACCAGAAAGATAACACTATAAGTCTACAACAATCAAACCAGATGATAAAAAGTACTACTTGATTGTATATTTTTTGAACTAATGCTCATTTCATTTCACATCCAAATAATGTCACAACAACAAGGAGGAGGATGATAATAAAACATATTATTGTACTAATTAAATCAAAAACCGAAAGCGAAACTTACAGACAGCATCCAGCTCCATATAATCTCTCATTCTGCTTCCCATTTATACAACAAATTCAAAAAAAAAAAAAAATCTACACAACTTCAACATGCAATCACCCTTTTCTTATCAAATATCAAGACTCTCTAATTGGATGTTACTCTTGAGAGGCACATACTCCCCAAGGTACCCACCAAGATGATCATGAAGGGCAGTTTTGTCAATTCCTTGATGATGATAACTCTTGCAAACATAGTAAAACACACTCTGAACCAACAAACCCACCAAATTCACAATCACAAGAACCCCAACAAGAAATCCCCCAACCAAAATCCGAACAAAAACCGACTTATTCGAATCACCATGAACCACAATCGCGGCAAAAGTCCCACTAATCAGCCCACAAATCAACAGGTACCCGAATACGAATACCCCTGCCATCAATACCTTCCCTTGGAGAAGCTCGTAGCTCTTCTTCATCGCCGCGAAGCCGTAAATCGGCTCGAGGACAGAAACAACACTAGCGAGATGCCAGAGCGCAGTGATATACACATGCACAAATAGGAAGAGAGCGAACGCCAACAAAATCGAGAAGAACAAGAGAAAAGTACTGTCGGTATCAACAGCAACAATGATCAAAACCAAGAGAATGATGAAAGCAAGATTATACAAGAGCATAAGAAGCGAAACCCACAAAAAGGTGTTGAAAAGGCGGCGAAACACGGAAGGAATCGCAGCAATGGTGGAGGAGAAGGAAACAGGCTTCGACGTATATAGCGAAGCAACGGTGAAAACAACAGCAGCAGTAGAGAGGAGAGAGAAAGTGAAGAGAACGAGAAGGTAGCAGAACTGGAAGAGAAGGAGAAGAAACCATTCATGGGATTGAGCTTGAAGGGGTGTTGTGGGATCTTGAAGACGAGCTAGAATTGGGTGAGTGAACAAGGAATGAGCTAAAATGGCGAAAGAAAGAGGGAAAATCAAAGCTAGGGTTAGGAGATAGAAGGTTCGAGGAGATTGTTTTGGGATTGAAATTGCTTCTTTGATGATGTCTGTTAAGCTAAGGAATTGAAGTTCTTCAGGTTGGAGATCCATGGCGGAAATTTTCTGGGTTTTTTTGGGTGTTTGATTAATTTTTTGGGTGAATTTGGGTTGAATTGTTGTTTGTTATCGTCGGTGAGATCTGAGATTGTTGTAATTGTGGAGGAGGAAGAAGGAAGGAAAAAAGATGGCGTGAATTTTGGTGGGACTTTATATAATAAATAAATTAACCAATAATGTTTTTTTTGTGTATTATTTATGCACCTAATCCTACCCCGTGCAATTAGCAAATCAATGTCCCATATTGTCTTATTTTAAGTGTAATGAGGATCTTAATTATGGTTTTTTTTTTTTTTTTTTTTTTTTTTTTTTTTTTTGTTAAGGTGGTCAAACTTGGATTTGTTGAATAACTAGATTAGGTCTTGTGCCATGCACGATTAATTTCAGTATTATTGTCAACAAAAAGTATGAACTAAATTATCGAAATATTTATTAAAATGAAACATATTCATGAAAAATCGATTAGCTAAATATGTATTTTAAAGTTAAACAATTGAGTATATGATTATTTTTTGTATTTTTATATATGTGGTAATGTAATAATGTTATTTTTCTTATTAACTAAATGAAAAATTTTAAAGCTATGTACTAACCCTGTGAATAAATTTTCTTTGTGCACACAAGTAAGATCACCCTATTATTTAATTCAAAATCATCCAACCTAAAATAATATTATTCAAATCATTATTCCAATAATATCTTATTTCTTATTCAACTTTTCTCCTACTATCAACTCTAATTCAAATATCAATGTATTTGAAATTATATTTTGGTACTATATATACATTATATAATAATTAATAGTTATCAATCAATAAGTTATACATTTATTTATTGATATTTTTACATAGATATTGATTATCAAGATAAGTTTTTTGACAAAAATAAGTAATAAAAATCTTATATTGATAATCTATATGATATTTTTTTTCCTAAAAAAATTATTGTTTATTTATTCTTTCTATAATTAAAAATCTAGATGATAATTAATTTTTTTACAATTAAAGTTACTTACGTTTTTGATAAATTTTTTTCCTCATTTAAACTTTATTTAAAAGAAGATCCAAAGAAATAAATAAAAATATATGTAATATATTTTTTAGGACACACCAGTCGATGACACGTGTCATTGCTGGTGTGTCTTTTAGTATATATTATTAATTGAGTGGTTTTGGATGGGGTTGAGTATTAATTCTAACTAGCCTTCTAGCCCGTGTGATGCACGGATGAAGAGATGAAGGGCATGTTCTCATACGTTGAAATTCAGTTCAGTTCAGTTTATGTCTAATGATATTGCTAATGATATAAAGCCAAATTTCATTCTTTTAAGCTCTTATTACAACAACGATAATAATTTCATTCTTTTAAGCTCTAATTACAACGACGATAATAATAATAATAATAATAATAATAATAATAATAATAATAATAATAATAAAAATAATAATAATAATAATAATAATAATAATGATGATGATGATGATGATACAGTTCATTGTTCAAATGGTTCTATTTTTTTGATACACATTTCTACTGTTAAACTCATTGAGAAAATCAGAGTACTACACAACTTAAACTAATTTTCATAATCGGTTAGTTCTTCGTCTTCTTCTTGTCCACCAAGCTCCTCCATTACCTCGGCATTCCTCTGAACTGACTCCCAAATCTGATCAGTTATTTCTTGTCGTACAATATCCATAGCTGCTTTTCTGTTAGGATCGTACATAGTATGATCTTCTCTTCGCTCAATGAATTCAACTTGGTGCTTGAATGGAATCCCTAGTTCATGTAAACGAATAAAATTGTGTAGAGTACAACAAGCAACGATTATTTGCAACTGAAAACGTAATTTTTTTTTTTTTTTATTTTTTAAAAAAAAAATTAAACAACAAAGTGTTTTGTGTTCTTTTGTCATAATACTATTTTATTTTTAAATTATATAGTATATGTGTTTAAAATGTTTTGGGGTTTCATGTTTATAATATATTTTCCATAAGTATTATAATTATAAAGTATATTTTTCATAAATATTTTAATATATACATATGTATATACACGTATGTATAGTAATAAATAATCAATAAATAATCAAAGATCACTAATCCGTAGTTAAAAATCACTAATTACTAAGTTCAGTTCAGTTCAGCTCAGTTCAGTTCAGTTTAGATGATTTCAGTCAATGAGAACAGGCCCGAAGTGTGTATGATAGATGAATTATAAGTTTAATGAAAGAATTAAAAAAAATAGTGTAATAAAAAATTAATAGTGTAAGATGACATTTGGCACTATGGTTAGAGAAGTGTAATAGAATGGATGGGGACATGTGTCTTTCTTAGTTTCTTGGATATAGTTTTTAAATACTAAGTAAAGATGTAGATAGATGTGAATGCATTGTGAAGCTATGGATTGCAAATCTAAACCAGGCAACCGACATTGAACTAGCCAGAGATGATTTGGTTCGACTTGATTGATTTTGTTTGATAAAAAATTGAACTAGCTAGAAATATTGAGTTTGTATATGACTCATTTTTTTATATCTGATTGTTTTGTGATAATCTTATTTAGAACTGAATTGAACCAAATTGAATTATTTTGTTCCAACTAACTTTTTTTTTATATCGATGAGTCAAAATAAATATAAATATTTGTTAACTCCGTTTTTTTATGCTTCCCCCACCCACCATTTGCGCTCTCTACCGACACCATTGATGAAGCTTCTGCTTCCTCTATTGAAACTTCCACTGACACCACCATTTCCATTATCTTCACTTGTCCACCCTCCAACGACACAATAATCTTCTTCATATCCACCTTCCACCGACAATACCACCATCTTAGAGGTGATAATATATCGGGCCGGGCATTAACACAATTTCTCGTGCCCAAACCTGCAAAAATGTAGCGGGCTTGTCGGGCTAAATAATAAACAAACAATTAAATTAAATAATTGAAAGAGAGATTTGGGTCCAAACCCTCAGAAATTAAAATCTTTCACGTCTAGAGAGAAGGCAACTTCGAACTTGGCTAGGTGTTTCTTGATCTTGTGAATGTGGAATTTTGTATGCAAAAAGTTGGTTAAGAAAAGAGAGAGAATATCAAGAAATTCTTGATGAGAGTTGGTGAAAGAGAGAATTAGAGAGAATAAGAATTGATGATTGAAAACGGAGGTTTTAGGAGGCTATTTATATAGAAAATCAGCCGGATATGATAAAAAAACGAATCAGAGTTTCGAAAAAAATAAAACATGACCGCAGCGGCAAACACGCACCTGTCGCCAAACGCTAGGCCTGGCGTCCGGCGCTGCAAGACAATTTTTGCATATTTTGTTTTTATCATATCTTTTGATCCAGATGTCCAAATAAGTCATATAATATGTTTAGAAAGCTCTTGACGTCTACTTTCCAATCCAATTAAAATCAGGTTAAAATCTTTTGTAGATAAAAAGATATGGCCGAAATACTGAAAAGGGTGTTAGTTTTGGATAGAGTTTCATATCTCATTCATATGTTTTTCATTATAGATCGGATTTAATATTATAATATATCATTGGAAAGATAATTTCAAGATCTATCCAACCATATAAAATTTGGATAAAGATTTTATGAGGCACGAAAATAAAATCTGAATATATTCCACTTTGTACAAAACAAGGATTCTAAAAAGGAGTGGTTTTAATTAATTTCAAACTCTTTGAAACATAATTATCAATACTAACTCCATTAGAATTTAAGGGAAAATTCTAGAATATTCTAGAAGTCTATAATCAATCCTAATAGCTTTAGGAATGATAATTAATAATAGGCCCTCCTCTAGATCATTGGGCCGTAGGTAAAATCCGGTTTGAGCCTATTTTAGTAATTTGTCCATAACTTCCTCATTATTCATCGGAATTAGGCTTATAATATATAGTTGGAAAGGTCATTTCAAGCCTCATCCAACTACACCATTATTGGACCCTTTTCATGGACCAAACTAAACTGGAATTCACGTTTTTTTATAAATAAGGTAAGAAAAGAAATATTTTCAAAAACAGAATGAAGAGATATTTTAATAAAAACATCCTCATTACTAGACTTTTCACACTTTTTCTATGTTCGATAATCAAATTACATGAAAGGTATTCATCATTGGGTTTGGTTTTGGGGAGACACATTTGGGTGTCTACAATAATGGATCAAATTATGGAGATAATTAAATTCGTTCTTTTGGATCGTCATTACCTGTTGCTAGACGTTATCAATGATATTTGGGATAGTCAAATAGTCCAAACCCTAATAGAATGGATCCTATAAGGTCATACAAAAGGGTCCGGTGCTGGATTAAACAAAACAAAGAAGCCTATTATCGGGCCTCATGGAGTGGCCGACCATATGGGTTGTAAAGGGAGAGTATTGTGGGCTTGGTTTTGGACTCTAATTATACATATGATGTATAAATAGAGGCCTTGCCTAGGGTTTGACATAACACACTTGAGCAGTCAATTGAGAATAGACTTGCTGTCAACCAAACCCTAGCCTCACGCACATACTCTCTCCCCTTCCCTCATGACCGCACACGCAAATGGCGCGTGTAGTGCACGGTGGTGCAGTGGTCGTGGTTGTTCGTGGCTCGGTTTTCTCCTCCCCTCTCCATAGAAGGTGGTTCGAAGTATTCGTGCCCAACTATCTAGCAATAGTGGAGGTTCAATCCTATCCCGTGGACTAAGTAGAGGAGAAACGCTTGGGGCTCTATTATCTCCCTAATTGTCAGTCAATTGCTTGTGGAAATCACGCGTCAAAGGTATGTATTATGTGGTTCTTGATATGTTATGTTGTAGATCCTCTTCAGGTGCAAACGAATATGATTCGTGAAGTTCCGCATCAAAGTACCTAAAACCCTATAGTGGTATCAGTTAGCCTCTTGCATTTACGCATATTGATTATAATTCTTTGATGTCTACAAATTTTAATTCAATTAAGAGGGAGAATAATTTAATTATGGTTCAATCTTTTATTAAATGGAGATTTAAATTTTGGAATTTGATTAAATGTGATTTAATTCTGCTCAAAATAGCCTAGAATGGATCGAATTTTGCCCTATTATGCTCGAAAATGTTGAAAACCCTAGCCCTAGATTCGAATTTTTTGAAACCCTAAACCCTAAAATTTTAATTTTGTGTTTTGGTTTTTGAATATTTTTGATTGTTTTATGCTTCATGATTTCAATCTAGTTGATTTCATGTA